GTCAAACTGATCACGAGTCGACTAAACTAATTGAGAGTTTACCTACAAATCTGGAAATAATAGCACTTTATCGCTATGAAAGCAATGAATTTAATGGTTTGATAGTATTGTTTAAGAGTAATACTGCAATCAAATACTGTTTGGCCCCACAATATAATTCGACACAAGTTTCAGATTCAGTAATCATATAATTCCACTATAAATGACATATAAAATTAAATCAATTCTTGATTTTCAGTGTCAAGAATCCAAACTAAAACTACTGATTAATTGTCAAAATGATAGTAAGAGTCCGCCACAAATTCCTCCAAAATTTCCACGAAAACCTCCCAAACCCACCGATAATACTGACATTCAATGGACTATTATAGTGATCATAGTGTGTGCAGTGGTTATTGGCATTTCACTTACCGTTTGCTTTACTTTTATTTTGTGGACACACTTTAAAAACAGAAACAATAAAAAAGACAAAAAGAGTATTAATATTTGAATAGAAATTTTATAACTAGTTTTCAATTGTTTTTCAGTGACCAAGAAATCTAAACGAAACCAAACTAATGAAGAAAAGCTTCAGAAATATTTCAACCGAAAGGAGAATCTCATACCAGAAGTGTTTCCATCCAAACAGCCTATGACTGCATCACTGGAATCGGTCGGGTTTGAGACCAATGATGAGAATGATGTGAAAGATGTGTCCAGGTCTATTTATATAAACAAATAATTATTTTTCACACAAATACTTATTTTAAACTGATTAGCTGATAATTATTAAATGTAATCGTATATTAGACTTATTTTTATAATTCGTATTTAAAATAAGTAGAAAAAATGTGTTCATGGCAATTATCAGTCTTTATGTTTCTTACTTAATGTAATTTAAATGATCAATAAATAAGTTATTTTGACTAATAAATTATTGGATCAATTGTGATGATAATTACTTCCGGTTGATCTTTAGTTTTATGTGTACAATATTATGTGTTATGAAACATAGAGTTATGAAACAATATGTTTGACAACAGAATATAACTTATGCGCGCTTTTCATGAATATCATAAAATTCAAAATGAATTTGTGTTGTAATTTATAGCAAATTTATTGGCTATAATCGGTTCAATTATTCGTTAGAAATCTTACAATTTATAAAATGTCATCCACAACACCCAAACCAAATGGATCACTCAATGAAACTGAGATAACAATTACAGTCTTAATAGTACTCATCGTATTGATAATAATCCTAATTGTGATCGTATTTTGTTGTAAAGGATTTAAAAATTTTACAGAATTCTCGGGGGAGTCGAGTGACAAACCAAGTATTGCTTATCATTTCTTAAATATAAATCTAAATATATGTAAATATTTCTCACAAAAGTGTCTGAAAGTCGGAAACGAAAAGAGATCCAAAAGTTGAATGATTATTACGAAAGAGAGGAGAATTTGGGTCCTTTGAAACAAATTGGTCTCAAAACTGATTCCCAACTCCAGTCAATGCATTCAACGGGATTTAGTGTCAGCTCTGGATCTGTCCAATCAGCTAAAGTTTAATTCAATATATTTGCTATAATTGCTAGCTTAAATAAGCTATACTTGTTTAATATATTCATATTTTTAAACTATAGTATGCAACATATTAGCTAATGTATAGTCAGTTTTGATTATTATCTATTTTTACAAATACAATATTAAAATGAACTTTTAAATATAAACATTTGTACAAACATTTAACATTTTATTAATTATTAAAGAATATTTATAAATGACACAAGTATACCTGTAATCTATTTAACTTATTATTGAATATAATCTGAATGGAAAGATTTTACATGAAAGTAAACTTATTAATAAGGTTTTATAACGAACCTTTCAATGTTGCAAGTAAGTATTCACTTTCAAATGTTTTCCTGGTTAGTTTGGTTTAATCGACTTTATCTCACTTAAGTTTATTAGTTTAATTTATTTTAAAAGTCAAATCATAGAAATTCATTTTCATTGAGAGGCATACCTTTGAGAGGTTTAGTTTAACTCAATAGTTTTCAATCTAGTTTTTATTGAGTCGATCACTCATTAAGTCTTTCCATTAATCTATGGCTCTTTAAATAGTTTTTATGATTTTTAATCATATATTTTCATTTTAGCCACATTTTATTAATATTTTATTTAAACCAAATGTATGATTATAATTTCTTAATTTACTAAATATAATACATTTGTAATTAATTATTTTTTATTGTAATATAATAGTAAACCCTAACCTAAGAGCCAAAAATGCCGGCGCCATCACTGATAGAGCCGACCGACGACGAGAAGCAGGCGATCATCGAAATGAGGGACGGATTTCAGACGGAGTTCAACACAAACCCTGACCTCTACTACAGGAAAGACATGGAACTCGTGATGAACAACGACTGGAATGTACACCGATTCTTGTTGGCCGCCGACGGGGATACCGGTGCCGGACTCACACGCCTTACCAATGCCATGAAATGGCGAAAACATTGGGCGGTGTGGGAGATGTGTGAACAGGAT